CCCCGCCCACAGGCCGCCGCCGCCGCCGTTTATTGGCCCGCACCTCACACGCCTCGGCGCGGCCCCGCCCCGCTGCCCAGCCGCCCTTCTGCGAGGGTACTGCTCAGCCATTGGACAGTAGCAACGAGGGCGGGGCCAGATTCAAGGACACAATTGGTTAGAATTCGCCCCTGGTGGCGCTGTGATTGAACGACGGGCGCCCTGGCCCCGCCTCCAAACCCAAGTTCCGTTAACAGGTTCGGTTGCTCCCGAACTCCCTTTCGCCATTTGGGCGGGGCGGATGGGAGGGCCAATTCGAGCGGTTCCCTTCCCCTTACGGGCGGCCGGCCACAGGGCCACAGGGTAGGCGGAGACGTGACGAAAGACTTGTTACTCTTTTTTTTTTTTTTAAGCTTTACTCTTTTCTAATTGGTTGATGCGCACCTGACTTTCGCCGCCCCTTTCCAGACGCTTATAACGTCACGAGACGCAGGGTGATGACGTATTCCCCGACATTCCACATCCAAGATGGCTGCTGTCAGGAAGGAGAGACGTTGCTAAGGGGTTGGCCTGAGGCGAGGGGTGAGTATCTAGCTGACAGCGGGCAGCGCCGCTCACCTTCCGCGCACCTGGTGGTCCGAGTAGGGCTTGTCCAATTTCCTGGGCTCTCTGGGGGAGTTCCACTTCCCGGATTCCGCCGCCCTCGAACCCCGATACACGTTGAAATGATCAGGCGACGCTGAGTGGAGGCGAGGGAGCTTCGGGAGAGGGTCTGCGGCTTGGGGTGCGACACTAATGCCAAGAACTTAGGTAGCCGACCTCCCAGAGGAAGGTGGTTGCGATTTGCAGGGTGGGTTCTAGCAGGTGAGGAAAAGGGGAGGGAGGCTTTCGCTGCCGCAGACTGACCGGTCATCCCTACTTTCTCGCAGCATGTGGATCCCTCTGTTACTTAGGCTTGGGACTTTGGAGAGCGTTCCGTGACTCTCGGACCGTGGAACAAGAGTAGGTCGAGGAATGAAGGAAAGGGGACTTCCTCAGTTAGACTTGTTCTTATTCCAAACACCATCCTCTCCTGGGTGATTGGTTCAGCTTGTTGTTAGGGAAATTGATCTTTAGTAAGTGTCGAAATACATCTGTATGTTTATCTGAAAGTTTTTCCACAGTTTAACGTGCATAACGTACTTGGTGGTGTTCTTAACTTTGGACTGCCGATAAAACGGACCTTTCCATAAGTCATCTGATGTAAGAAACAGCCTGAGCAGTTACTACAGACTGGCTTTTTTTTTTTTTTTTTTTTTTTTTTTTTTTTTTTTTAAAACAATGTCTCCCTGTATAATCCTGGCTGGTGTGGAGCTCTCTTTGTAAACCAGGCTGGCCTCTAGGTCAAAGAGTGCTCTGCCTTCAGAGTGCTGGAGTTAAAAAGACTTGTGCCACGAGTCTGGGCTAAAGACTGGCTTTTTATGTTTTACATACTTGACCTTGGTGATATCTTGATATATATTGTTTTTTACAGAATAATTGGCCAACACCTTGTTATTGTGGACATGCATTACACATTTCTATGAATGATTCCATGAAAGTGTAGAGATTTCAAGTCCCAGTACCTAGACCATTATATGACACTTAGTAAACTGTATTTGCTGAGTGAATTAGAATAGATGGGTGATGGCCTTAGAAATGTTGGGAAACATTTTGATTAAAGTTGTCTGTGTTGCCAAGATCCTTGTTTGCTAAAGAATCGCCTGTGATGAGTAGAATTGGTTTTAGTGGTTTTCTCCTTTTGTCTGGTATTCACATATTTTGCTGTATTATTCGGGCATATTATTAGTTGATCATGATTTTGACATAAAGTGAGTGAGCTTGTTTTAGGAGATGGTGCCTGAATGCAGCAAATTCACTGAGTATATAAAAAGAAGAAAAGAGTTCTCTGCTTGTGTTCTTTAAACTTGGGTAAGGATAGTCACAGGGAATTAAATTGAAGAATTTTTAAACAATACCTAGTTGAGTTAAATGTAATTCGTATTCTTTAGATCAGATAAATTAGATAGCATTTACATTACAGAGTAATTTCAATGTTGTAACATTGTTCAGAGCTTTTGAGAATATCTACAGATACAGTTAATGGTGGAGAACTACAGTAGAGGCTGGTACTTCCGGAATTTTCTTAGAGTAAGATCAGCTATCTCTTTGATGTAAGAACTGATGAATGGTCAGACATCAGAAAGAAAAAATAGCCGGGCGGTGGTGGCGCACGCCTTTAATCCCAGCACTCGGGAGGCAGAGCCAGGCGGATCTCTGCAAGTTCGAGGCCAGCCTGGGCTACCAAGTGAGCTCCAGGAAAGGCACAAAGCTACGCAGAAAAACCCTGTCTCGAAAAACCAAAAAAAAAGAAAAGAAAAAATAGAAGTGATGCAGATTACATTTCTTTTTTTGTTAAAGGATGGAACTCGGGCTAAAGAGATGTCTTAGCAGTTAAGAGTACTTGCTGTTCTTTCAGAAGACTTGAGCATAGTTCCCAAACACCCATGACAGGTGGTTCCTGACAGCCTAGAATCTCAGCCACAGGGAATCCAGTGCCCTCTACTGGAACCTACACAGGCACACATGTACACATAAATGAAAAAATAAATCTTTCTAAAAATACATACCAAAAAAATGGGACTGGAGAGATGGCTCTGAGGGTAAAGTGCTTTCCATACAAGCACGAAAACCAGAGTTCAGACCCCTGGCACCCTAGAAAGCTAGACATCATGGTACACCTGTAACTCCAGTGTTAGAAACAGACTGGATCCTTCGGCCTCACTGGCTGGCCAGCCCATCTAGCTGAAACTTCTCCAGATTCAGTGAGAAACCCTGTCTCAAAAGTAAGATTGAAGAATACATCCTTCTGTCATCCTCTGATCTCTACATATGCCCACACAGGAGATCACATCCTCACACACATGGATGCACCCAGAGTTGGTTACACTGTGGTAAATAGTGGGTTGCTGGACATAAGTACATTTAGGTTTCATCTGAGGATAAAATAGTCTATATCTTAGTTGGCACAAGAAATACATATATCTTTAAGAAGATATATATATATATATCTTTAGGTTGATTTGTGGTCCTGTTACTAAACTAGACTTGTTGATTGGCAGGTTGATGTCGGCCTGAAGAAAGATCCTCAGAGGTAAGCTATGGGGCTCTAGTCTTGTTCTTACACAGATTAATATTTGAATCACAAAGTGTCTAAGAACCATGGTTCTCCCTGCTACAGCAATGGCTCAGAAGTTAAGACTGCAACCAGCAGCTGGAGAGATGGCTCGGTAGTACTAGCTGCTCTTTCAAAGGACCCAGGGTCAATTTTTAACACACATATGGTGGCTTACTGATGTCTGTAACTCTAATCCCAGGGAATCTGACACTGTCTTCTGACCTCCAAAGATACCAAGCATGTACTTGGTGCAGACGCACATGCAGATAAAACACCCATACACATAAAATTAAAAAAAAACAACCTTTTTTGTATGGAATGTAGGTATTGAAAGGAAAGAAGAAGAAAATGCATACTGCTCTTATAGAGGATTCCAAGTTTGGTTCCCAGCACCCAAGTCAGATGGCTCACAATGTCCTGTAACTCCAGCCTCTGACCTGTGCTGGTACGTGTATATACTTACACACAGACACATGTGCATGCACATAATTTAAAATCTTTTTTAAAAGAATTGTGCTTCTCAAATTAATAAATGCACACACAGACAATGTAGTAAAAATAAGTAGCATGTTAGGTGACATTGAGATGTTCTTTTTCTTTGCAGTGCTAAGTTGAGCCTAGGTCCTCAGCACACTAGACAAACATTCTACCATGGAGCTACATCCTTAGCTCCACCGTTTGTAAAAGCAAAGATAATAGACTCAAACTGACAAAGTGTAACCTACTAAAAATGGTTTAGTTTACAGAATCTCACCTGCTGTAAGAGGAAGCCCTGTCTTCATAAAAGTGATCTACGATGCAGTGTTGCATTTATAGAAACAAAGTAATGTGCAGATTGAGGAAATGCCACTCTTAGAGTCAGCAAATCAGGGCCTGCCTAATTTACTTGCTAACTCTACAATGCTGTTTGCTGTCTTTTTGGCTCCATTAACTTCAAATTCTCAGTGATAAATTCTGAGACTAAGAAAACATTGTGTGACATGGTAACTGAAAAATTTTTGAGCCGTGACTTACAGAGTATCTGCATTATACTTCATAGCCAACCAACTCAAACTCTCTCTCTCTTTCTCTCTCTCTCTCTCTCTCTCTCTCTCTCTCTCTCTCTCTCTCTCTCTCTCTCCACACACACACACACATCTCACACATAAATTTTTGAGATTAAATGTACAATAAAGTAACATAAGAGATTAAAAACAGGGCTGGAGAGATGGCTCAGCAGTTAAGAGCACTGGCTGTTTTCCAGAGGTCCTGAGTTCAATTCCCAGCAGCCACATGGTGGCTCACAACCATCTGTAATGAGATCTGGCGCCCTCTTCTGGCTTGCAGGCATACATGCGGGCAGAACATTGTATACATAATAAATAAATCTTTTAAAGAGAGAGAGATTAAAAACAAACAAAAAGGTGTAGAGATGCACACCTTTAATCCCAACACTTAGTAGGCAGAGACAGAAGGATCTCTGTGAGTTGGAGGCCAGCCTGGTCTACATAGTGAGTTCCAGGACAACCAGGGCTATGTAGACAGAGACCCTATCTCAAAGAAAAGAGAATGAAAGGAGGTGGGAGGGATTATACGAGGTATGGTAGTGCACACTTGTAATCCCAGATTGTGAATTCTCGGCCAGCCTGGGCTACATAGCTAGCTCCAGGCCAGAAGACTGTAAGAATTATGTGAACACCAATTTTTGACGCTCAGTAGTCTATGAACTGCTTTCTAAACTAAAGTCTCATTAATGAATGAAGGCTAGTGAATGCCCAGTTGGTGCTGTTATGTGCACTATTGGTGTGAAATGTGACCAGTGACATCAAGGTACTATAGACCTGAACAAGTTTTTCCACATGTGTTCTGAGATCTTTCTAGCCTCATCTGCTCACTGGGTTATTTCCCCTACCCAACTCTGCTCCAGCCTCTGAGATCCTCTCTCAGGAGCTACTTCCTCCCCCTAACATATCACCTGTCACATCTTCCTCCAACTTTTGTTTCCTCCTCAGGAAAGGGCTTCCTTTCTGTGTTGATTTTTCTCCTTTTTTTTTTAAACTCCTCAGCCTAGGTCCTTGGTTTTGCTGGGAGGCAAGAGGAATTTGGCTTTCTAAGTATTAGGTTTAAAGAACCTGAGATATTCATGGAAACTTCTACCTGAAAGTCAGCCTGCAGAAATATGGAAAAACAGTATCTTTGTAAAAACTCACTTATGTATGAATTAGCTATAAAGCCGTGGTGACAGACAGAGGAGTGGAGAGCAAATCAGTCCTTCCTATGGGGCTTTCTCCTGATTGCAAATATTCCTTTTTATGCTGGGAAGAAAAAACAATAACAAGATGTTTATAGCCATTTCATAGTTGGTTCATTCCTCAGTGCCCGCTTTAGGTTTCTTTTCCATATTTCCACTTTGTGTGTTTGAATCTACTTTATTGAGATATAACTCATGTCAAACAAAATTAAATATTTAAAATGTTCAAATAGGTAGTTCTTACAATATTCAAAGATGTGAGACCATCACCACAGAGTCCCTTTTGGTGTTCTTAACTCGCTGCCCATTTGAATACCTTGACTCTTTTTTTTAATGTATATGAGTGCTCTGTCTTCATGTACACCTGCAGATAGAGAGAAGAGGGCACAGATCCCATTATAGGTGGTTGTGAGCCACCCTGTAGGTGCTGGGAATTGAACTCAGGACCTCTAGAAGAAAAGCCAGTGCTCTTAGCTGCTGAGCCATCTCTCCAGCCCCTTGAATGCCTTGACGACTTTTAATCCTTTAATTTTCCTTCAATGTCTGCCACTCTTGATTGCTACCTCTGTTTTCAGTTTGCTTCCCCTTCATTTCTTGTGGGGTTAAAGATGAAAACTCTTAATTCTGCACCACTCCATCCCTTTCTTGCTTTCAGAGACTCTTCCTAAAGTCTATCAGAGTTCTCCCCTGGACCGTTCAAACAGATGCATTCTCCACCTGCTTAGTTCTTCCTGCTGGAGGAAAGACTAGATTCCTTGTAGAACAGCCCAGGTGCCAGGAGCAGAGTGCTCTGCCCTGCTGCTGTCAGCTCTCCCACCAGAAATGATACAGGCCCTGAAGAAGGCAGGCCTCTAGACGCAATGATGGGTCTCTGGCCTGAGTCTGAAACTGGGTTTTTTCTCACTTGACTGTCTGACTCCACCCCCTCGTTTGGAACTCTTTTGCTGCCAGGGTGAAAATGTTGCTTTTGAGCCACTTTGCAAGGCACTGACTTGTGGTGACCTTGAGTAAGTTCTTTGTTTCCACCTGCTGTCAACCTAGAACCTTTGGAGGGTCTGAGGGGGGTAGAAACTAGAAGAATCTAAAGGAGATGCTTCCTCATGGACCACCTCCTGCCCTTTTCCCACAGTACTATGCTTGGCTTAGAGACTTTGTGTGAGTTAAACCAATCCTATGACATTCATAAGAGCAATCAAGTAAAAACCAGGAAATCTGACTAATAGGTGCTAATTGTAGAGATGGGTAATATGGGAACATGAGCATAGGATGTTAGACAGGCCCAGGTTGTACTGAAGAATGGAATCTAAACCAGCAACAGAGACTATATGTCAGTGAAAAAAAAGGCAGGGAGAAAGCAGGGCATCCAGACTTGTGTTCAGCTTTAGAATTCAGGGTATAGAATGCTGTCCTAAACCACCATCAGTGCTGGATTCAGTTAGGGTGTGTGTTGAATTGGCTTTGGAGAGAGTACCCTGAACTTTGAACTAGCAATCAGTAGCACGTTGGGGATTGAGGGGTCTTGCCTCGGTCGTGTTGTGTGGTTATGCTTCCATCTGTAGCTCCTGTTCGTTTAGTCAGATTTTCTATTTCCAGCATTCCCTCAGTTTGTGTCTTTGCTATTGTCTCGATTTCAATTTTCAAATCTTGAACTGTTTCCTTCATCTGTTTAATTACTTTTTCTTGGCTTTCTTTGATTTCTTCCAATTTTTTGTTTGTTTTTTCTTTCATTTCTTTAAGGGAAGTCTTTATTTCCTCTTTAAGAGAGTTTTTCATTTCCTCTTTAAGGGCCTCTATCATCTTCTTAAAGTCATTTTTAGGATTGATTTCTTCTGCTTCTTCTGTGTTGGTATGTTCAGGTCTTGCAGGTATAGAATCGCTAGGTTCTGATGTTGTCATATAAGTCTTTATGTTGTTGCCTGTATTTTTGCACTGGCGTCTACTCATCTCTTCCTCTGCTTGGTGTAGGCAGTGTCTGTGTCTGAAGGTCCCTCTCTTGTACTAATTGTTAGTCTTGGTCCACTAGGAGTTCTTGGTCGAATCGGTGCTGTTGGGCTCTGTTTCTCCAGGAACAGCTTAGTCCAATCAGTTAGTGGGTTCTGTCTCAGGGAGCAGTTGTTCCCAATTGGTGCAGGGTGGGCTTATGGTTCTAGTGGTTGTTGGTGTCGCATGGGATGGTTTTCTTGGTGAGGGAGCAGGGAAAGGTAGCTGCCTGGCCCCTGGGACTCCGATGGGTAGGGCCTAGGGGCTAGAGACCTGGTCTGCCAGTCTGGAGATGGGGCCTTACCTGTTCCCAGTCGATGTAGGGTGGGCTTATGACTCTGGTGATCTGGTTCAGTGGCTGGACGGCTCCTTCTCTTGCGTTCTCGGGTCGCGTTTTGCTCACTCACCAACTCCTCAGCTGATCTTGTTTCCTCCTCAGACTGCAGGCTTCAGAAACCTCTCCTGAATGGATCTCAGCTGAACAGGTTGATCAGCAGGGCAATCTCACCAACACCTCCAAGTTGTTGGGCTTTGCAGGATCAGCAGCTGGGCCCCAGGTTGGCCTCAGGCAGAATGTTCGGGTCTTTATGGTCTCGTCCCACAGAAATGGCTCCTTCCCCGAGTGCTGGGATTAAAAGCATGCAATCAGTCCAAGCTGCTCCTCACCTACAGTGTTCTCCAGCTCCTCAGCTGATCCTTTGTTTGCTACGTTGTGTGATTATGGATTATTTATGATTGAAATTATTAATAGTGTGACATCCTTTTTGCATCTTTCCTTTCTCTTAGGATTATAACATTCCAGAGGCCCTTTTGGGAAGAACAAGGCTACTTCAATAAATGAAGGAGAACAAAGAAAATTCAAGCCCTTCAGTCACATCAGCAAACCTGGACCACACAAAACCATGCTGGTACTGGGATAAGAAGGACTTGGCGCATACACCCTCACAACTTGAAGGACTTGATCCAGCCACTGAGGCCCGGTACCGCCGAGAGGGGGCTCGCTTCATCTTTGATGTGGGCACACGTTTGGGGCTGTATCCTGAGTCTCTGGGATTTGTTGAGAATAAGCTCTCCACCACTAAGAACTAGATTAGCTGCCATAGACAAGCGTGCAGTCCTTTGGTGCACTAGCATGAGTCTTCGGTACCTTTGATGTCGAAGTTGTCTGACTGGCTGTTCAGGGATTCTGTCTCTGTCTTATCATTTAAATATGTAGGCTTAGCTGTTGAGCAAATGGCTACTTAGGAGAAAACCAGCCTTAGTAAGATCACATCTCAAATATTTCTTGTGGCTTGCTAAATTACAAATCTTGGCAGTACTCATTCTGACACTAGAATTCTGATAGCCTCTAATTCCCACCCATTTACTTGATGGTTGACTTTGTTGATATGGGCTGTTCTTGTTGCTTCCCTTAGTAGCTAAGAACATAACTTGTAGCCATTCCTAGACAAAGCCTTAACCAGAACAACAGACACTATGACACCCTGGCAACTGGAATCATTTACTTTCATCGATTCTATATGTTTCATTCCTTCAAGCAATTCCCACGATACGTAAGTGTAACTCTCAAGTGCTGCTATGTCTACTTACTGGCTAATGGCTCTTTTCATCTTATTTTCCAGAAAATGGTTGTTTTTATGGGTACATGCTATATATAAACAAATTCCATTTTGAATTTTGTTTTTTTCCAATTAACATTGTTGAAATCTTTTTTTGTTTGGGTCAGTATGGACCACAGTCTTACTATAATTTATATAACAGTTTACTTATTTGTTATCTTTCACAAGGTAAACTTGGGTTTAAGTAAGACCATAACTTAAGTGTATTGACAGGATGGTATTATTCAGGGGGATATTATATCTAGGAAGTAGACTGTGCAAGGGAGAGAGTACCATGAGAAAGCTAAGTTTTGAATATACCAGGGCTGGTATGGGCTAAGACAGCAGTCTAAAAGAAACAGCTTGAGAAGATGCAGAAGGAGGCATACAGTATGATGACCAGTCGTCAGTCAGGAACTCTATTTGGCTGGCTGGGAGTACATGCTGCTCTTACAGAAGATCCCATTTCAATCCCCAGCACCTATAATTCCAGTTTCAGGGGATATGACTCCCTCACCAGCATGCATCTTTTGCACATACAGACATGCAGGTAAAATCCTGATATACATAAAGTAAAAATCATTTGGGGGAAAAAAAGTGAGGTTACCCTTAGATGGGAAGGTAAGCTGAGTCAGCTCATAATAAGCCTTTAATACCTGTTTTCCTTGTTGGCTTGTGAGGTTCTTAAAGGAGGTAGTGTCGATGTCAGCTTCATCCACTGGCAGTGTCTAACATCCAGTGCAGTAGAATTGTAGGACAAGAAGAAGGGGCCCAGAAGCAACTGCGAGGCCTCTGTCTTGGGCCTTTGGGTTGCTGTAACAGAATACTTTCGACTAAGTACTTTATATCAGAAACATAATTCCTCTCAGTCCCGACAGTCAGAAGTTCAAGATCAAGATGCTGACAAATGGAGTGTTTGGTAAGAACTCATTCTTCAAAGAAAGTGTGCCTTCTTGCTATATCCTCAGGTAGTGGTAGAGAGGAGCAGACTGCTTCAGACCTCTTTCAGGAAGGTAGCAGTCCTAAGTACTACCACTCTAGGGGTTAGTTTCAACATGTAAGTTGGGGAGCAGAGCAGGTGCACACGTTAGATCACAGCAGGGAGGAAAGCAAGTGTGGCCTTGGTCTTGACAGACTGAGCTTGCTGTTTCCAGAGCAGGCTCTGCTCACTGAGCTGTTGTCCTTCCATTTAGAATAGGAAAGGAATTACCCGGGACTTTGTTCCCTCACTTATTCTCTTTGTGTCATGACAGTTACCTTCAAAAAATCATGTTCGCCGGGCGGTGGTAGCACACGCCTTTAATCCCAGCACTCAGGAGGCAGAGGCAGGTGGATCTCTCTGAGTTCAAGGCCAGCCTGGTCTCCAAAGTGAGTTCCAGGAAAGGTGCAAAACTACACAGAGAAACTCTGTCTCAAAAAAACCAAAAAAAAAAAAAATCATGTTTCTTTTTGTTGCAGACTGAGGGCTCATACCCAAGGTGCCATGCATCTTGGATACACACACACACACACACACACACACACACACACACACACACACACCACAACCTGAAGACTGTAGATTTCAATTGGTTTATAAAGCCATAAAGCCACTTATTTTTAGGGTTCTTTAGCTTGTCCTTCCAGCTTTCAGAGGGTTGGGATATTTGCAATGAGCTGTGGATAGGAGACTGAGGACTGACTAACTGTAAGGTCAGAACATTCTCACGTTGTCTCATGGGATCTCTGCTAACCAGTCAGAATGTCTTTTCCTCTTTTAGGTAACAGGAGCTTGTTGTCTCTTTCTGGCTGGGAAAGTAGAGGAAACGCCAAAAAAGTGTAAAGATATCATCAAAACAGCTCGTAGTTTATTAAATGATGTGCAGTTTGGCCAGTTTGGAGATGACCCAAAGGTAAGAACCCAGACTTCCTGCCTTCAAATCTTGCTACCTGGAGCATTGGCAAGGGCTCTAAGCTACTTACTGTGCCTGCTAGTTCTTGGGTTCGTAAGAGGACCTTATGAAAAAGCCTTCCTGGTTTTGCAAGGGGAGGTCATGTGGCCGAGGCTTGACCAAGTACTCCTGATGTGCGGGACAGCACTTGAGAACTCTGAGAATGGCAGCATGTCCAGTAGATTCAGCAGACTCCCATTCCCAGCTGACTTGCTTCTGACTCAAGAAGACATGCGCTATTGTGATTGTTTCTTTATCACAGTTGTGTTTGAATGCCTGTGTATGTGTGTAATGAGTCTTTCTCTGTCCCATCAACCAGCTCCTAAGCTCAGCCTTAGCTTGGGCTTGTTTCTAACTAGTTCTTAAATTAGCCCATTTCTATTAATCTACGCGTTGCCACATGGCTCGAGGCTTTTACCTCTCCTCCTGTATGTCCTGCTTCCTCTGTGTCTGCTGGCAACTCCCTCTTTCTTCTTCCCAGAGCGCTCTCTGTCCAGAAGTCCCGCCTACACCTCCTGCCTCTCTATCGGCCATTTAGCTTTTTATTAAACCAATCACAGTGACGTATCTTTACACAGTGTAATCAAGTATCTCACACCTAGATGTGTGTGCACACACCTCTCGAAGTCAGAAAACAACTTGAGGGAGTTGGTTCTCTCTATCCATACTGGAGTACTGGGCATCAAACCCAGGTGGTCGGGCTTGGAAGCAGGCACCTTTACCCACTGAGCTGTCTCATCCGCCCGGTCTTCTCTTTCTTAACTATCTTGTACTATCTCATAACAACTATCTTCTCTTTTTCCAAAGCAACATTTGTATGTGTGTATAAAACATGCAGTCATTTTCCTTACAGCTTTGCAGAACTAACAAGGGTCCAGAATACTCATCTATATATTGTGGTTATGACTAACACTAATGGGTTGTAAGGGTTGTGACTGTGGATCGTTCTGACCTGAATTTAATTATATATTACCCTGTTTATAACCATTTGAACCTACTCAGAACTTAGGTTAGCAGTAACCAGAAGTGCAATGCAATTTTATTTTTTTTAAAATGTGCCCTCCAAGAATGTTTTCTCTGTCCGTGGACATCTGATTTCTACAGAGCAGTGAGATCTTATGTCATTGATTTGACTAGTCATGCTAGTCATGTGCTTCAGCCAAGCCTTGCCGCAGGGCAAGTGATCTTTGTAGCTAAGATGGGTTAGGTAAGATGTCACAGATCTGGGAGCACTGTAGGCCTAAGGTACCTGACAGCAGTACTGTGTACTGGTGGGTACTTTGGAGGACCCTCCTTTAACCTTCAGTGCTTCCTATCTTCCATGCACAGTCTCCCAGACATGATGTGGGAGCTAAGAGGCACTGGGAAGCACCCAGATAAGAAGATAAAGATGTCAAGGGAGACATTTTTCCCTAGGCAGAGGTGAAACGATTGTTTTGGCAGTGTAAGTATTCAGGAAAAATAAAGTGGTTAGCTGGAGGATTTTTTGTACTAGCTTTGCTTTAACTGTTTTTCCCAGCAATACTAATTTTTTACATATTCATTACGTAATTTTTTCAACCTCTATCTTAAAACTAGACATAAAACACCTGTTGCAAAACAGGGTGTTGTCTTTGCTTTAGTAGATCTTTTTGTTTTGGTTTGGTTTTTGGTTTTTTGAGACAGGGTTTCTCTATGTAGCTTTGCGCCTTTCCTGGAATTCACTTGGTAGCCCAGGCTGGCCTCGAAATCACAGAGATCCGCCTGGCTCTGCCTCCGAGTGCTGGGATTAAAGGCATTCGCCACCACTGCCCGGCCTGCTTTAGTAGATCTTACAATGGACTGGCAGGATAGATTTTAATCCCATAATCATTTACCTGATCGTTAGCTGTGGTACATGCTTTAAAAGATCATTTGAAGATGCTGTGAGAGCAATCTACCCAAAGGCTCAGACAAGGTGAGGCTGAATAAAGCATCCTGGAGAATGGTGTTTGCAGGGAGACTTGTAATTACCCCCATTAACTGAGTATCTGAAACTCACAGGGAAACTAGACCTGGGGCTGTCTTCATTAGACCTAAGGGCCACAGCCTGGAAGTCATTGGCATATTCAGTAAAGATGATTTCTACACTTAGAGGAAATGCTGGTGCCACTGGGAAGCAGGCACTGATGATGATAATAGGCAAGAAAAGGTGGTTTTACTACAGTGTGCAAGTTCCTAAAATCTTAGAAAGCTTTTATGAGAGAACACTAAGAAACTAGGGTAGAAAACTTCAAACTTGCCATATGATGGGAAATACTGAATGTTAAAGAATCTTCTACATTCTATGACATAATGCTCCAGGGTAAGAAACTCTTACCCGTCTCCTCTTCCCAGAACTCTTTGAGCAAGAGTTAGTGATGAGAGATTTTCCACTCTCCACAAAACCCTTTCTTTAGCCAAACAAATTTCCTCTCTAATTCCACAGTATCTATGAGTGCTAGGCATCATCGGGCTGTGTGATAGGCGACTTCTACAAGTACCTGTTTAAGGGCACTAGCTAAAGTAAAGTATGAAGAACAGAGAATCAATAGATAGCAGTAAAACTCTAAAGAATAAGCCTTGTATAAAACAGAACACTCTGAAACTGTTCAAAGCTAAAAAGATTGTTAGCGGGATAGGCATAGCTGATTCTATAAAGTTTGGAAAGTCTCCATTTTCCAAGTCACTATAAACTCAGTAAGTTCCCAGTCTCAATAGCAGAGGTATGCATGGCAAGAGATGTACAGAAGTCTGTAAAGAGCAAGAGTGAGCTCTGGGTTTTATGTGGCTAAGATTTGAGGTGGCATTTCAGATAGAATGATCTCTCTTCAGCATCTTTTATGAATGAGTGAAGCTCAGAAATGATCAAGCTTGTGTACATACGCTCTCTCCCTGTGCACACAGCTTCTGAATTGTGAAGCCACTTGTTTCCTCTGTCATGTCAGCATCCAGTAGAAGGTCCTGAGAGATTACATTTTTTAATGATCTATAAATAAAAGGTCAGACTGGCAGAATGGATCACACCTATAATTCCTGCATGTGGGAGACTGACAGAGAAAGTCACTGTGAGTTTGAGGCCACCCTCGGCTACATAGTGAATTCCAGGTCAGCCTGGGCTGGAGTGAGACCCTGCCTCAAAATGTCCAAAAGTGGAACCACTGAGATGGCTCAGTTGGGACTGTGCAGCCCTATGGACCTAAATTCAACCTCAAAACCTACGTAAAGATAGGTGGAGAAAACCAGAGCTACATAGTTGTTTTTTGTCCTACACATGTACACCATGGCATACATACCCCTTGTATGAGCATAAAAATTAGGTTTGTTTTTTTCCTTTAAATGCTTTATGAATTGTTCAATTGCATGCATGTGTGTGATAGATTCTGGCTACACTCTCCTTCCCTCCTCTCACTCCCACCAGCCCTTCTTCTCTTGAGTTGCCTTTCCACCACTTTGATATGTTGTTTTGTTTTTGTTTTGACTTTGTGGTCCGTTGGCTTTAACTGGGCCTTATATTAAGTGAGATAACCCAGGTCCAGAAAATCAAACCTATTTTTTTTAGATTACTTTTAAACTTTAGCCAACAAAGTCATGGATTTTATCATGGCATCTTCCTGACTATGTGTCATTATACCTTTTCATTCATTCCCCTCCCGCACTACTCCCCATGACTCCTCCCCCATTTCAGCTGGTTCTCTTCCTTCCTCTTGGTATCCCCTTCTGCTAGGCCCCTGGTGGAGCGCTGGAAGTCTAATTAGTGAGAAAGAGGAGGGTTTATATAAGCAAGAATTGTTGAAACCAAGGTTGGATAAAGCACAGGGACAAATAACCAAACGAATGGAAACACATGAACTATGAACCAAAGGCTGAGGGGCCCCCAACTGGATCAGGCCTTCTGAATAGGTGGAACAGTTGATCGGCTTGATCTGTTTGGGAGGCATCTAGGCAGTGGTACCAGGTCCTGGGCTTGTTGCATGAGTTAGCTGTTTGAAACCTGGGACTTATGCAGGGACGCTTGGCTCAATCTGGGAGGAGGGGACTGGACCTGCCTGGACTGAGTCTATCAGGTCGATCCCAGTCCTCGGGGGAGACCTTGATCTGGAAGAGGTGGGAATAGGGGGTGGGCTGGGGGGAAGGGGAGGGGGCAGGAAGGGAGAGAACAAGGGAATCTGTGGCTATTATGTAGAACTGAATAGTATTGTAAAATAAAATTTTAAAAAAAAATCAGGTTTTAAAGGCCTAGTTTTCAAAGGTGGCTTGTGTATTTGCCATAATAATGCCTCTAAAAGCTTTTGCTTCTTGCTTTTTTTTTTTTAAGGTTGTCTCTGGTTTGTTCGCCTGTTTGAGTTTTTAGATTATCACTGTGCACCCATGTTAAAAGGCTGAGTAGAAGTAGGAAGGAGCAAAGAACATCTGCTAAGATAGAGCTAAGAGCGCAGGCAGAGACCTGAGGTCATAATCAACTCTTCCAACATTTGTGCCGTAGGAAGAAGTCATGGTGCTGGAAAGGATCTTACTGCAGACCATAAAGTTTGATTTACAAGTGGAACATCCATACCAGTTCCTACTCAAATACGCAAAGCAGCTCAAAGGTAAGGAGACCAGGGGGTTTCGCTCTGTTGTTGTTGAATTGTTGGTTTTTTATAGTGCTGGGGATGGAACTAGGACTTTTGCATTTGTTAGGCAAGTGCTCTACCTCGGAACCATATCCCCAATTGTTTTTTTAAGAACTTTTCATTCTGAAATCAAGTCTTTTTAATTTGACAGTACTTAGATTGTGTTTCTCAAAAGAGAAAAACAGAAAGTTCCCTGTCAAGTGTACCCAGACCATGGCTCACTCAGACAGTGCAATAATGGAGCTGTTAATGCTTTTCCTTTATGCAGAAACAGGTTCTGTCATCCTGTTGCCAAGTGATAGGAGACAGGGAAATGAGTCAGGATTTTAAATAGACTAATAAAATTAGCCTTGGAGCCACATTTCCCATAAATGGTGATTCAGCGCAGGTCATGTCGAGAATATCAAGAGGTAGGATGTCAACCCATGTCATTTGTCATCATTTCTGTACAAAAGCTCTTTGCTGCGCTGACACACAAGAGATTTTAAGTAAATACTTGTGACTTCCTGTGAATTATCGTTTCTACTATTCCTATTAATTTAACTATTTTTTTTTGTTTGCATTTCTAGGTGATAAAAACAAAATTCAAAAGTTGGTTCAAATGGCATGGACATTTGTAAATGACAGGTATGCGTGTTCAGATGTTGATTGAATTCTTTTTTGTTGTTGTTGTTTTTCGAGACAGGGTTTCTCTGTGTAGCTTTGGTGCCTGTCCTGGATCTCACTCTGTAGATCAGGCTGGCATTGAACTCACAGAGATCACCTGGCTCTGTCTCCTGAGTGCTGGGATTAAAGGTGTGCACCACCGCCGAATTCATGTTTTAAAAGATGCAGAGGTGTATGGGCCAGTTAGTGCAAACCCATTATCTCCAAGTAGAAGAAAATTGACTTGCCCAGAGCTGACTCCAGGTCATGTGCTTCTCCACGCAGATTTCTTTCATCCTATTGCATTAGTGTGGTGTGAGGGGAAAGTAAAGACTATGTAATGAGAGTGCATGCTGGACTGCTTAGGGCCCATTTGGTTTCTCGTGATGATTTCAGAACTTTAAATGTCCCCAATGAGCCAGTGACTATAATTGTTGGCAGTTGCACTCTGTGGCCTGCAGAGAAACATCTGGAATCTGACTTACAGACTGTTTGAACCATGAGAGTTCCTTTGCAGACAGTACACTGTCTGGATTTTCAGCAGCTAGAAAGAAGACACAGCCTGATCTCATCTGTTACATTGTGCAGCAGTCTCAGAAATGTGCTATGGTTCATGTCTTTAAAAAGCAAGTTGGTAACCATGGTTTACAGCAGCTTATTTTGGCACTTAAAGACTTGCTTTTTTAATGGATAATACTTTTGGCTCTTGTAGATAAGTAAGCAGTCTGACTAGTTGCTAAATATGAAACTAATTTCTGTGTGTTGGTTTGGTCATGAATGTTAGCTATCACAATGCAAACCATGGTTTTCTTTCCTGTTGATCTAGTCTCTGCACCACCCTGTCACTGCAGTGGGAGCCAGAGATCATAGCTGTAGCAGTAATGTATCTTGCGGGACGCTTATGCAAATTTGAAATACAAGAATGGACCTCCAAGCCCATGTACAGGAGATGGTGGGAACAGTTTGTTCAAGATGTCCCTGTTGATGTTCTGGAAGGTACCTGGCATGCCTAGCTTCCTTTTAAGAATGTTGATGAATCTTCCTTGTGGGCCCCAAGTCCTAAGAGTGGACTTTCCCAGATCAGTAGCTATCCTGGTTTTTCAGTAGCATCTTTATATTATCTAATATGATTTTCCTTTGAATGTGCACAGAGCTTAATGAACTAAAAATAGAGCCCAGTTTTGTGCACAACAAAGATGGGTTGAGTTTAAAATGTGATTGCTACTTAGTAGTTCTTATAAGAATCAGAGGTGATTTTTTTTTTCTCCGCTAGGTAAAATTTGGTTTAAAATGTTGGTTTGTGGTAAATGTAATTGTTGCTGTCATTTAGACATCTGCCACCAAATCCTGGATCTTTACTCACAAGGGAAACAACAGATGCCTCATCACACCCCTCATCAGCTGCAGCAGCCCCCATCTCTTCAACCTACACCACAAGTGCCACAAGTACCGCAGTCACAGCCGTCTCAAGGCTCCGAAGCAGCACAGCCGCCGCCGCCGAAGGACTCACAGCAGTCCGCCCAGCAGCAGCAGCAGCAACAGCAGCAGCAGCAGCAGCAGCAAGCACAGCAGCCCAAGAAGCCGTCCCCACAACCTAGTCCTCCCCGACAGGCGAAGCGCACAGTGGTGAGTGGGCTTGCGGCTGCTGGCATCACACTCTGATGCCGGTCCATTTTTTAAGGGGTCCCATGAACACCCAAGGCAAGAGGTGAACCCACCAACATTTAGTCAGATTGTGCATCCAGAAGTCAGGAAGTTAATGGCCTCAGAGAGCTAAGGAGGAGAAGCTTCATTGCTTCTCTTACCCCAGTGGGCTCTGAAAGCTGTTGGGACCTGGTTCCAGTGTGTGACATGGAATGTTTACAAAGTTTGCTGGTGATGGAGCACCGTCTTCCCCATGGCAGCAGTCTGACCAGGGAAGGAAGCCATTTGTTCGACAGCTCCCACCAGAAGCCCCTAGGCTTTACATGCACTGAGGGCCTGAAGGCTTTATGGGGACAGGAGGAAGCAGAAATGACCTCCTAGATGCCAACAGTGTGCCCTGCAAGTTCAGGTCACAAATAATGTTTTGCCAGAGGCCTTCACCCAAACTAGGCTCAGTTCACAGTTGTGCTTCTTTTCATAACAGGTGGTTTCTCCCAAGGAAGAGACTAAAGCCGCAGGTAAGCAGGCCTCCAGTTTCGCCTTTCCTGCTGACTTTCAGGTGTACAGCAGCTTTAAGCTTAGAGCCCATGGCTGCCTTTGTCTACCAGCAAGAGTGCTGTCATCTCTGCTCATCACCAGACTGTTTTTAGATTGCACTTTGACTAAAGGTGTCATTAAGTTGAGACAGTACTGTCAGTAAAAAATTGTGCTTAGAAATACATATGAAGGTGTAGTCATGAATGAGTGACTTTTGCAGTGGTGTTTATTGTGAGAGATGAGTCCATCCTAGAAGACAGTGGAGGGCCAGAGAGCCTGTGGGCAGCCAGAGGACACAGGTGATCCCTGGACATATCCTAGCAGCTTAAGAAAGCCAAAGCACTTTGTAATGCTGTGGTTTTTGTTGTCTTTTTCACAAGTTACTTAATATGCTTTAACATGGGATAAGCAGAATCGGAAGGATTCAAGAGCAAAAAATTAGAGTCATTTGCCTGTGTCAGTCTCATTGCACTCTAAAAAGTCACAGTGTTGTGAGGTCTTCAAGTTAAAGCTGTATTTTCTCACCTCTCTGGGAGAATGATGAGTTCAGTACAGGTGAATGAATTTTAGCTCCCGTGACAGGCATTGAGAGTAAGAAACAGTGTGGGCTGTGATCCGTGTCGTGTAGGATGTACAGTCAAGGTAAGCAACTGTGGTTCTGTTAGAGAAACTGGCCCACCATGACCCTGGAGGGAGGGCCTACCTCTGAGCAGCCAGAGCACTGAGATGAAAGGATGCAGGAAGCAAAGAATTGAGAGAGTGAGGCCAGACAGGAGGAGTCTGATTAGTGTGAAGAACCCTTTGATAGGATTGAAAGCCTGGCCTTTCATTCCCAAGTTGGGTCAGAGACCAGATCACAGAGGCCACATGGAGAATCAGACTTTATATAGTTGTTGGGAGCTTTTAAAGATTTTCATGCGGGAGAATGGCAGGGTCGGCTCCTTTGAGATCACGTTCCTGACAGCATTAGTAGGATAATGAATAAGATAAATGGTTAAGTGTGGAAAGATACTGGCCACACCTTGACATTGGCCCTCAGGCCAAGAAGAGGGGATCTGGGGTGCACTTTGACATGGGAGTTCCCCATGCTGTACAGATTGTCAGCCACTGAGGCCAGGCCAGCCCTTGAAACATGGCCACGTCCTAGGGACTGTCAGCACAAATCACCAAATTTCCAAGGCTTTTTTTTGTTACTTGTAGTTTGTTTTTTGTTGTTTTGTTTTGCGACAGGGTCTCACTAGATAGCTCTGGCTGGCCTGGAACTCATTATGTAGACCAGGCTGGCCTAGATTTCAGAGATCACTTGCCTCTACCTCCTGAGTACAGTGTTATTTCAAGGCTGTGTAGAAAAAGAGAACATAAAAGTTATGAATAGGATTTTATATTGAGTACATGTCGAAATAAAGTGTTAGTGTGTCACGTTAAATGAAGTAATACAGCCTGTACTTTTTCACTTGGCTGTTAGAAAGGTGTGTGGCTTTCACACAGCTGTGCGGCAGCTTTACTTGTCCTGGCTGTGGGGAGAGGAAGATGGGAATGGTACCAATTAATTACAGAGAGAGAGGAGGTCAAGAAAGGTACTGATTGGGGGTCCAGGGATGCAGAGTGGAGTCAGGGCTGTGAGTCTGGATGAGAGGCAGGGCCTGGAAGTTCAGTTATTTGTGCAAGCTGAGCCTGTTATCCCAGCCCTCGGGAGGTGGAGGCTGAAGGACTCTGAGCTCAAGGCCATCCTGGGACTAAAGCCAAGGAAAGGGAGGGAAATGCACCTGAATCCAGCCAGTGTTGGTGACCTGAAACCATGAGAAAGTGGTTAGCAGTGTGGGAGAGAAACCAGTAGAGGGGCCAGAACTAAGCTGCTCTGGAGTTCCAGGACAAAAGCCTCCACAGAAACAAGCAGGATGGAACTCAAGATCAACCACGAGCTTTGTGCCTGCTTAAGGTTTAGGCTTCTGTAGCACGTTCTGGTGACCTCACATTTCCTCTGGGGACTGGTGGTGTGTGGCACCTGCCCTGAGCTATGCTGTTGCCTCTACCTGGATTGGTGCTATTGAACATGCACATTCTCTCTCCATCTACTCATCTGCTTCCGGATCTCCACTTTCCACAATTAATGCACAGCTGACAGTCTCCCAGCTGGAAATCAATATGAGAGTGAGAAAGTAGACTTGAAGGAGTGTCTCGTAAGCACCCAGGGGGCTTGGTGACATGATACTGCTATGCAGGGCTTGTCTGTATTCTGAGTGCTCACTGCCCCTTCAAGTTGTTGAAGGACTTGTGACGGAGAGGCCAGTGTGCTGACAGGGAGCAGTCAGCCCGTCCTGATGGTGAGGAGGTGTCTGAGCTGTGCTGTTAATTTTTAGCAGGGTTGATGGGTTCATGGTGGCTCTGCTGCTCTTCCTGCTCCTGGGATGCCTTGCTCATGCCTGTTCTTTTTTTCCAAAGAACTCTCTGCTTATGTGATTTAGTGACGTGAGAGAGTATAAGTGACTTTTTTAATCCCCTTTTTCTTTTTAGAACCACCACCACCACCTAAAATTCCCAAACTTGAGATCACTCACCCACCATTGCCTCCAGCACACCCACCTCCAGGTATGTGCCTGCCAATACCACTTGCCCAGCATCTTTGGGACCACTGGAGGGATGACCTGGAGGGTCCAGCAAAGATAGATGTGCACCAGGAAGGAGCTTTCAAAACTGCTGGTTTCACAAATAGGTATTTGTAGATGTTGCAGACTTGACATGTCACTGACCAGCCACCCCCAGAAATACTGAACTACATGAGGTAAATGAATTTTCGAGCAAACCCTAACAGCTGAGAACTGTCTATCCAGATCTGAACAGAGTTGCTCTCAGGCTGCAGTCTCTCACCTGCTTCCTCTTGACAAGATGTCTTCCTGGTGGGTCGTGAAGAGTGAGCGATGGTTGAGAGTCACTGGAGAGTAGCACTACATGGGGCTGGGAGGCTTCCCAGACAGCTTTCTTTACTTGTACCCTTCTCAAAAATGGGTGCAGGAGAGCTGGTGTGTTCCGGGACCCTGCACCTGGCAGTCGGCTGTTGTGACGGGTGGGGAGTGTGCGTAACTAGCCCCAGCTGTGGATTTCCTGCCTGCAGCCAGCAGCTGCCAGGTGGCTCTCTGTGTCCACATGCAGTCACAGGCTTCAGTGCCGTGAGAACAGAGGTGATGTGTGCTCTGGGAGCACAATCCCGGTCCCCATTTGAAAAGGCAGAGCATCTCAATGAGTGCTCGGCAGCACCATGCTTAGCTTGGGTGAGATGTGGCACATGTAGGGAGCCCAAGGTAGTCCAGCAAGTTGTTCCTGCCCTGCTCAAGGCAAAGAAAACAGCTACTATAGATGCCTCAGATCCTACCTCCTTTCCTGCAGAACACAGAAATTCCCGTTAAGTTGACTGCAGACCAGCCCAGAACATAGTACCTGGGAGCCAGGTCAGCTCCAGAAGGGCCTAGTTGGAGAAAGTGTTATCTGGCAACCATTGCTCTTCTGCTGGGAGATGTGGCAGCAAAGATGGATGAGTGGGCTAGGCTACAGGCACTCCCTCAGACAAGGTCCCTGGGATCCTGTGGTAGCTGTCTATGAAGAAGGATGGGAGGAGAAAGGTAGAACTCTAAACTGAAGAAATGCTAAGGTCATCAGCCAGGCTTAGAGGACATTTGGGGGCCTGTGTGGCTGCAGCTTGTGACACAGAAGTGAGACCTCTACCCCAGCACAGTACAGGGGGCAAATACTCTGGGTACTAGACAAGCCAGAGGTAAAGATTGTAGTCGTCAGTTTCTTTTTTCAGTTTTGGGGTTTGGTTTGGGTTGGGTTCATTTTTTGAGACTGGGTTTCTCTGTATAACACCTGAACTCACTCTGTAGAGCAGGCTTGCCTTGAATTCACAGAGACCTGCTTGCTTCTGCCTCCTGAGTTTGCTGAGATTAAAGGTGTGCACCACCAATGCCCAGCTTTTTTTTTTTTTTTTCTTAAATAAATAGGGTCTTTGTGTGTAGCCCAGGCCAGTCTTGAATCCCAACCCTTCTGTGTCTAGCCTAGCCTATACCTGACCCCATAAGTCATTTATTAAAGCTAGATATGGCTGGGCGGTGGTGGCGCCCGCCTTTAATCCCAGCACTCAGGAGGCAGAGCCAGGCGGATATTTGTGAGTTCGAGGCCAGCCTGGTCTACAGAGCGAGATCCAGGAAAGGCGCAAAGCTACAGAGAAACCCTGTCTTGAAAAACCAAAAAAAAAAGGCTAGATATGCATGTTCACAACCCAGGTGGTCATGGAATGACATAGGAGGAATTAAAGGGGTTGTACTTCAATGTACACATCACTTAGCTTTGGAACCAAGGGGCATTTGTCTGCCCCAGACTTTAAGCAGAATTTTTTTTTAATGCTTTTCGAGACAGGGTTTCCCTGTAGCTTTGGAGCCTGTCCTGAACTAGCTCTGTAGACCAAGCTGGCCTTGAACTCACGGAGATCCACCTGACTCTGCCTCCCGAGTGCTGGGATTAAAGGCGTGCGCCACCACCGCCCAGCCTAAGCAGATTTTTTACAGATACATCTGGCCATTTGCTGAGGGAGGAGGGTGGCTGCTGATCATCCCAGTCAAGGCCCTCTGACCTATCTGTTGCCAAGCCAGACTTCTGCTTGCCTTCACTTGGTGAGAATAGGGTAAAGCAGGTACCAGTTCTGGGCCATGTGACAAGCAGTGGTGTGGCTGTGCCCCCCCTCCCCCCCCATGCTTGGGCAGGCACCTTCACTATCCCATGTCCGCCTGCCCTGTTAGGACCCAGCATCTTTCACACAGGGCTTCTTGAGGAGCTCTTCACCTCACTTCCCTCTAGGTGGTCTCTGTAGCCAGCAGGTTTGCTCCTGTGCTTGTGTTCCTGAACGGCCCTGTGAAGGGACAAGTGATGTGTGTGTGTGTGTGTGGGGGGTGCTTTGCTTATGTGTACGTCTGTGCAGTGTGTTCTTGCCTGATCCCCGTAGAGGTTAGAGGGCATTGGATCCACTGGAACTGGAGTTACAGATGGTTGTGAGCTTCTGTGTGGGTGCTGGGAACTGAACCTGGATCCTCTGTGAGAGCAGCAAGTGCTCTTCACCCCTCAGCCATTTCTGCATCCCCAGAACACAGTTTTTGAGTGCATATGTGGTAGTGATGGGGGATTCCTGGCATCATTTTCCAGAGGCCCAGCCATGACTCAGGATTACAGGCCAAGCCAAAGCCTGCTGTGAGGCTTTGGAGGAGCAGAGCCTGTGGCCCGTCAGCTGTGGACAGGTCTGTGGTCTGTTCTCAAGAGTGCTGCTGCTGCTGCACGCCTGTCCGCATACCCATCCTTTGGATCTGAAACGGCAGTCAGCTTGATCTTTCTCCTTCTAGTAAAACAGACAGAAAGGCCACTCTTGTGCAGTGCTGGTTCCTGTCTGACTTTGTCATCTCTGTCATTGACAGGCTCAGGCTTTGGGAACAGACGGGCGGAAAGCCCCCACTGTTTGTGCTAGGAGAGGTGAATTAGGCTGAGCTTGTTTATGCTTTCTGTGCCTAGTAATTGGGGGGGACCCAGCATCGTGGAGGATGTTGTAGAAGACCCTGTGCGAAGGTGCAGGACCTCTAGACTTGTTGAACCACAGAGGTGGTACCACCCCTCGCTCTTCTGTAACCTAGTCCTGGGGGATGGCAGCACCTTACCAGTGCCCATAAATAGTTAGTCGGCCGGGGGTCCCTAAAAGCTGCTTGGCCCTCTTGCCCCAGGGCTGGGCCTTCCTACTGACATGTCTCTCTTCTACAGACCGGAAGCCTCCCCTCGCTCCTGCCTTAGGTGAGGCTGAAGCAACTGGTCCAGTGGAAGCAAGTGACCTCCCCAAAGTCCAGATTCCTCCTCCAGCCCACCCAGCTCCTGTGCACCAGCCCCCACCATTGCCACACCGGCCTCCACCCCCGCCGCCCTCCAGCTACATGACTGGGATGTCTACCACCAGCTCCTACATGTCAGGAGAGGGCTTCCAGAGCCTGCAATCCATGATGAAGACCGAGGGCCCCTCCTATGGTGCCCTTCCCCCAGCCTATGGCCCACCTGCTCACCTTCCCTACCACCCCCATGTCTACCCTCCCAATCCACCCCCACCTCCTGTTCCCCCACCTCCAGCTTCCTTCCCCCCCCCCCCCCCTCCTCCCCCTACCCCAGGCTACCCTCCACCTCCCCCTACCTACAACCCCAATTTCCCACCCCCACCTCCACGCCTGCCCCCCGCTCATGCAGTCCCTCCTCACCCTCCTCCAGGTTTGGGTTTGCCACCAGCCAGCTACCCACCTCCAGCTGTTCCCCCTGGGGGGCAGCCCCCAGTTCCCCCACCCATCCCCCCACCTGGCATGCCGCCTGTCGGGGGGCTAGGGCGGGCAGCTTGGATGAGATAACATGATGCCTTTTCCCTTGGGTTTTTTTTTTTTTTGCTGTTGTTTTTTTAAAGCAAGAGTTTTCCAACCAACTTGAAGAGTAGATTGGGTGGGTAGCAGCAGGGTACCTTGTATATGCCACATAGTTACAGTATGGGAGGCTGGGCCTGGGATGAGAACCGTGCACCTGATAGTACCTGATGTGGAGAGACCACATCCCCTTTCAGCTGCCGTCTGTCCTGCATGGGGTTACTTACACCAGTGAAGACGCTAGTAGCCACATTGGCTCAGTAAAGAGCTTCAGAAAGGAGGGACTTTCCCTGTAGAAATCAGTGCCTATTTTTCCTGGGAACTCAACTTTTGGTAGCTGTGTCCTCCTGTCTGCTGTTGTCCTTCCATTCAGTGCTTCTTCCTGTGGCCCCAGCAGGTCAGGTGGTCCCGCTTAGCTTGTAACTCTGTCCTCTGTCCTCTGGAGGGGCTGCCTTGCTGGATGGATGTCTCCTTTCCTCCAGGGAGAAAGGAGGTGTGGACTTGGAAAATAATGTATGTTTACATCTCTTTGCAAAGTCTTGTACATAGAGATATATTTTTTAAGTGTGAATGTAACAACATACTGTGAATCCATCTTGGTTACAAATGAGAATCCTTCAGTCAGTTACCCAAATAAAATGGTTTTGAAACTACTGTTTGTCTGTGTGGGACCTGAGTAAAGGATATGCAGTCCACTGCAGAAGCAGCAGCCTGCTTTGGAGGAAAAGGGATTCTAGGCTACACAAGCTTCTAGAGGGATCAGGCTTGGATACCCTCCCATTCCAGGTTTGGGAATAACCATAAGTGGTCTTCAGTGTGCACTGTAGGCCAGCCATCGGCCACAACAGACAAGCACTACACACCCAGCTCGCAGGCTCACAAAGAGGCCTTTATTATCTAGTTCAAATAGACACTGTCACATCTTATTTGTTACTCCTTTTACTAAAATAGTTCAAATCAATGCTTTTACCACACTATCAAAAGTTCTATTTTTTTCTCTCCACAAATTAAAGTGGTTCAATAGAAGGTAGAAACGGCCAAAGTCCACAGGCTCCAGCTCTGTACACAGCCAGGCAGGAGGGGGCAGCTGCAGATCTTACCACCACCAATTCCTATAGAAGACTGGCCCAGGGCCAGGAACCAGGCGTTCCAGTCCCTCCCAAAAGCAGCACACTCTCCCCCACAGTATGAAAATATACACCTCTGCCACTCTGCAGCCATGCATTTAGTTTGTTTCTTTAAAAAAAAAAAAAAATCAGTAGTATGTATCTCCCTCTCAAGTTTCAAGAAAGAAAAATGAAAGGTCACTTTATCTTTAAACACTGGCTTGTGGCTGTTTAACGTGAATGAAAATGTGCTCAGCAGATTCTGACTCCAGGGTAGGCGAGGCCACCTGGATGGGGCTGGGTGACCTCCGTCACAGTGGGAGGTGGAGCCAGTGCAAGCATCTTGTGAGCTTGAGATGGAGAGTCGGGATTGCAAAGGCTAAGGCTCCAGAAACGGGGGGGTCCCAGAAGACCACCTGCCCTCCCCAGCCCAGGGCTCACCGGTTTGCTGCTAGCCCCTCCTGGCTGTTAGGTCTGAGATATGACACGGACAGTCCTAGAGAGCTAGGCCAGTGCTGAAAGCTGGGGCATAGCTTTCACCACCCTGCGGAAAGACAGAGGGGTTCTCCAAGAAATGTTCTTTGGATTCCCATGATGCCTCTGCAGCATTAGGGATGGGGTCACACCTCTCCAGAAAGGAAAGGCGGCTTCTAGGCTTTTCTTTCTTGACCAGTCTTCAGATCCCAGGAGTCCTTACTTATTGCTTGTGTCAGTGGTGGTGGCTAAGCCATCCTGATACAAATGTGACTGCCTGGGACTCCCAGATGAGGCTCCCACCTGTGTGGACCCATACACCTCAGCGTTATTCTGGGATTCCTTGGCCTCAGAAAACCAGGAAGGCTCTTTCCTGGCCAGCAGCCCACTTAGCAGAAGTCACTGAGTACCGGGGCCAGCGGGTGGGGCACCAGCAAGTTAATCACTTGACCATACATCAGCTCTTCCAGAAAGAGCTTCCCGGTGTCCCATAGCCAGAGTGGTAGACCTGTTCCCCCACAGCCCCTGCACAGCACTCCCTGGGCACACCAAGAGCCATGGGCCTTTCCCCTGAGAGTGTGGGACCCAGGGGTGCGAGGGTGCGGGCAGCAGAGGTGGTGGGATCAGCCCAAGGTCACGGGGCCTTGGCTGCGAGGGGAGCAAGGGTGCCACCCGCCGCCTTGGCCTGTCCCCTTTGCTCCGCAGGGTGTGGGCAGGGCCTGAAGGAGGCCTGCCTGTGGTGAGAACAAGCTCTTTGGCCTCGAGTGCTTGCTGCATGGGACTCAGAGTACCATTGAGTGAGGAAGTCAAGACGTGACTCGGGTGATACCAGCAACGTGGCCTGGTCCTCCCCCAGGTGGAGATGTCGTCTGCACATGTCACTCAAGCACCCACCTCCTCGTTTTCCTCACACCAGGTTAGAAGACAGCCCTGTCAGTCATGTGTCACCATTTGGGGCATGGTCGTGCACACGGAAGCACTTACTTGAACGCCCCGGTCCCTACATACAGGGAGGAGAGGAGGCTCAGAGAGGTGACCCGTGAGGAGACAGCATGGCCAACAGGCCAGCCACTGTTCTGCCCCGCTAACATGTTCCCAGGAGGTCACCGTATGAGCTCATCAGCTGCGAGAGAGGACAGAGGCCCACCAGGGCGGGGTGGTTTCTAGAGTGAGCAGAGCGAGAAGGAACCTCAGCCCATCTTTTTCCTAGGGGCCCAGAGAAGCTGAAGACTTGCTGAAGGCCACGCCGCAAATTAAAGCCAGAACCAGGTCATGCCCCTTCCTTCCCAAGGAAAACTCATCAGGGGCGACTCCTGCTGCTCCATCCATGGTGACCCAGGATGCACCTGGGTTGAGGCTACACCGACAGTGACCATGGCCCAGTTCTTCCTGCCCAGAGAGAACGCCGAGCCCAGCCCAGACACTCTCTAGGACTTCCTATGTTGCTGTAAACCAGAAAAGGAAACTCGCAGGGGAGACCTAAGAGACGGCTCAGCCTGGCATGGGCAGGGAGACGTTGCCAGAGGGGTGAACGCCAAGCAGCAGCAGCGGGCACCAGGGTGGCTAGGTGCTGACCCCCAGGTAGCAGAGAACCCTGAGCTCCCAGCCAGCCATGGACACGCGGGAGCCAGTGCTCCACAACCCGGGGTCCCGGCTATGGCAGGGTAGCAGCGAAGAGCCCCCTGTGTCACAGTTCAGGCTCTGGTGGCTTCTGTCCAGTGTGAGGGACAGCCAGGGTGGAAGGCGTGATGAGGGACTTCCACCAAGCACAGGACAGTCCCAGAGAGTCCCTGGGCCTGGAGGAGTCTCAGAAGCTTCTTGCTATAGTGGAACATGGAGCTCAAAGAGGGGGCCAGGCTGCCCCGCCCCCCCCCCCCCCCCCCCCCCCCC